AACAATAATTATTAAAGTTAAAACTAATAGCGATGACATCGCTCGTCAAATGTAAACCGCACAATATATGACATAATAAACCGGAGCGGTCGAAGGCAGCTGCATTGCCGATTATAAAAAATCAATAATAACAAATAATTAAAAAAGAATCCGCCGCATGCTTCAATAGCTACACAAAATCTTATATATGTAGCCGTTTCTGTAGCGAGATTTGAATTCGAATTTTCTAACTGCTGCATGGAATGGATTGGCAACATGTCAACACCGAGCCCATACCGTGCATCGAGAACCAATGAAAAAAAAGGGACAGATCGGCACACGCGGATCGATGGCTTCTCACGTGTGGAGCGTGCCGGGATGTTAGGAAAATACCGTATAAAATAAATTATTTATTTATAGATTACAATAATCTTAAAATAAAATTTAAATAAATTGAAGCCACTTTACTCATCAAAACCTTCGAGACATAATAAGGCATTTTCAGCAACAATAAAATGTTTAAAATCAATGAACATTTTAAATTAAGAAGTCCTATAATTATTTCGCATTGTTCTTCTATCCATTCGTGTATTGAATAAAAATGAAAAGTATGTCTTTTTTTAGATAATATGAGCAACAAAACTTGACATTCACGGTACGACTACCCCTACAACAACCGACTACTACTTTCATAACATATTACATTTTACATCAACTTTATTTTTCATAACTTATAAGAATATTGCACAAATATCATTGCACATTATCAATCACTGGTCACACCAATCATTGTCAATTGACTGTTGTTATTGTTGCTACTTTTGACCACTACCCGCACCAACACACACTACTTCCACTACCGACAACTATTGATCTTCACCACAGTTGGTTTATCCCTCGTGTCATGTTAATCAACTTATGTGGTATTTATTAAAAATAAAACTATTGAATATTTGAAACATTAAATATATTTTTAAAGAGAAATTAAAAGAGTATATTTCACTAAAATTTGTCTGAAAGTCATATTTCAATGGTATTTTTTCTTGTTAGCTTTACCTTGCTTCTCCATATTGCATCAATGTTGCATTCCAAGATCATTAAAATCTAAAAATGGCAAAATAAAAGAGGCATTTACATGATTATTTTTTATATAAATATTCAAAACATCTAAAGTCTTTTAAAAATAACTAAATATTTTATATCATATGGAACATATTTTTATTTAGATCAAATATATATAATAAAAAAAAACAGCCCATAAGATAATATAAATGAAATATACATTTTATAATGATTGAATTGATTAAGTGTATTAAAACAACCCAATGTTTGTTTGTTTTTAGGTTTATTATTTGATTTTTTTTATTTGAAATAAGCTCACGAATAACAAGTTCATATTCAGCTCGATTCAAATCTGTTTGTTCATTTTAGCTCTTCTTCGGCTCAAAGTTAGTTGGGATGATTTAAAAATAATAAAATTTAATTTTCTTAATACAACAAGAAATATTAATGCAAAAATATTATAATAACTTTATTATTAAGTATTTAAATAAATCAAGTCAAAATGAGCCAAATTGTTTTTGTTTGACTTATTTATAAATGAAGTAAAAAAAAATGGTTATATTATGACATGAACTACTTAACAAGTTGAACATAAATATATGTAAATACAATCCCTCAATCCCATAAGTTTAATATGTGGTAATCTTTTTTTTTTGTGGTCACTATCAAATTGCAACACACATCAATTTTTTTTAGGTGCACTTATTGCATGCCTCAACTTTGCAAATATCCCATATGCGTGCTAGAAAATTAGCGGCGGCAGATTAATAAATTATTGTCTTAGTGTTACATGAGAATTGAGCACACACTTAGATAAAAAATACAACCAGCAAGGACACCCAAAATTTTTACGTGGAAAACCAAGAAAAGTCACAAAACCATGTTGTCTGGTCCAACTGAAGAAATCTATTATAAATTAGTGATTACAATTTCAGTACCTCGTCCCACATGCGGGAAATGGTTGAACTTTTTTAGAGTTACAACGTCGGTGCTTGGATGAACTTGTGAGATCGGCGGCGAACGACAGGTGATGGTCGACGGTAGTCGGCAGGTGGTGGTTGACGATGGTCGGCGGTGGTTGACGACGACATGAGTAGTGATGGATGACATACATCAAGTGCTGCGAAGCACAGGCGACTAACACAAGTATATGTGGCTTATGGTTGTACCAAAGTTTGAGTCCAGTTGTTGATCCCTCAGAGAATGAGATGAATTATACGGAAAAGTTCTAGTCTACAATTTTCATCCTAAGCCTAAAGAGTTTAATGTGTAAGTTAAAATTTTAAACATATTCAAAAGCTATGAAAAGCTGATATATCCTAACAAGTAAAAAAGATTCTTTTATCAATTCAGAGGTTGAGAATTTCCCTCTTTAATTGAACAATAGATGAATATGACTAAGAATTAGATTCAAATATTTAGTGTCAATCAGGACTAATTTCTTTCTTATTCTCTTCTGGTGGAATAAGGAAAATTAGTAGCATTAAGTTTAGTTCCCTAAATCTCTTGGATTGCTCACAAAATGTCTCCTAGAAGACTGCATGAATCCAATGACAATATCCCTATTCCAATGAATTCTTCTTGTTAACTCTTTTGTTCCATACATAATCATTTCAGGTATTAATATTCGCAAAAGATTTTAACAATCAACTAGCCAAGATTGAAAGTAAATTCAGTTCACAAATTAACAAAACACTTTTAAACTTAAATTAAAGCACAAATAATCTCAAATCTCTTTTCATATCCAATCTCTATCTCAATTAAAGAGAGAAACAAGAAGATTACTCACTATTCATGACGAATCTCAGTAAAATAAACTTATTTTTATACATAAACATCAAAACCAAAGTTTTAACGCCGAAAATCTGAAGAAAGAATAAGATTAACACGCTCTTCTCCTCCACAAGTAAGAAGTTTAATGATTTTTCTAACCACAAACAATCCACACTCTCAATCCTCACAATTTCTCCTCCAATTTTTTTGCTATTGCTTTGGTCTTCTCTTCTAATTATCCTATCCAGAATGACAGAAGAAAAAAATGGTGAAAAACCCCTTTCATCTCGAGGTCTAAACTGCTCCAATTGCCAATTTTAGTTTCGGGCGCCTAGGCGCCCAACGTCTGGCCCTTAGGTGTCAAGCTCTCGGTTTTGAAACATGGTATGAGGCCTAAGCACCAATATCACGGCGCCTAGGCCCCACTTAAAAATTTTTCATCACAAGACCAGTATCATAGCATTGCGATCACGGCGCCTAGAGGCCCATAGCAGCGTATAGGCGACCATGTGTACAACGCCAACTTTCTGTCTTTTCGGAGTTCTTGCTCAATGTAGGAAGTTTCTGGTGCATATGCAAATTTTTTTTAATTTGTCAAATTTGTTCGACACAAATTCAACGTAAATTGCATTATTGACTCCAGATTTACCAACGAAAAAAAAAACGCACATCAAACGAATGCTAATGAGATTCAAATTTACTCAATTTCTATAGTGAGCTTATATACAACTATTGTGCTCATAAATTATTAAGAAGTAAATTAAAAAAAAATATTTAAATTTACATTGTGCTAGAATTTTTCTAATCTATGGAGAAAAAAGGATTTAATGGTTTAGTATTGTATAAAGGCCGAACACTCAAGAATTAAAAAAAAAGATTCAAAAATACAAAAAATTAAATATATAATTTTAAAAGGAGAAAAAAAATGATTGGCTCTAAACCAATTGAAAGATTGCTCCATTGTATTAGTAAAATCATAGAGGTTTGTTCTTCCCTTCTAGACGATCGAATGATGAAAGTCAACCAATGACAATCAAGCAATGACGGTGAAATGACCATATTCGACTGATAATTGTCAAACAATAACAGTCATGAGATGTTTGGCTAGGCCTGAACCATCTTTTATTACTTTGCCTTATATATTTTTACAATCAATCATTTAAATAAAAAAAATCGTTACAAATGTAGATTTCAGTTATTATAAATCCAATTCCAGCTAAAATTGATGGGTTTATGTTCTCTCACGTCTCTTCTTCCCTCACCAACTTTTACAGCTCTCGTCACAATCCCACCATGATCATGATTTAGTGGGTCGATCGATCGATCTTAATCTGGCTCCCCTTTCCATCATCATCATCATCATCATCATCATCATCATCATCAAGATTTTAATATTTAAGTTTAAGCGTTTGCAAATATATAAAACTTTGGGTTCAAAGTGCAATTTTCATCCTACAAACCCAATTTATATCCAAGGAGTTCACTTGGTAATAAGCAGGCAAATATAGAGTGCACCAAGTCTGATGATCATGCATGCCATTAACATCTCCACGTCAGTCATCTTCCTCCTCCTCCTCACCCTGTTCATTTCATTCCTTCGGTCACCGACATGTGTGGCGGCGACGGCGAAGGAGGATCTGACATGGCTGCTGTCAAGGGGTGAGCTGGTTCGGCTCGCCGGATACGGCGAAGAAAGGCTCTCCTCTGTGATCGTTACTGGCTCTCTTCAATACCAAGCTCGCAGCTTTTCTTCAGGCTCTATTTACCTCACCACTTCCTATGCCAAAGGTAATTAAGCACAAAATTACTTACTAGTATTTACAATGAAAAATAATAATTACAAAGTAATCAGAGTATATATGAACTGTATATGTAAGATGTTTGTATGAAAATTGTGAGAAAAATTTTGCATTATATGGTTAAATAGGTATGTTCTTTTTTCATTTATAAACCATAGATAATAATAAAATTATTCTTCATCTATGATTTTGTGTTTTGTAACACTGAGATCGTTAATTTTATGTAAGATGCAAAATTTTGCATTAATTTTGGCAGATTTATATTCAGAAAAATCTAAACTTGAATGTTTTTTTCTACGTCTAATTATTAGGTGCGGAGGGCGGACGCAGAGCTGTGCGAGCCCTCCTATCACAGCCGCACATCGCGGCTGTATGATAGTATCGGAGGGCGCGCATAGCTCTACGTGCGCCCTCCGCACGCAATAATCGCTCCTTTTCTACATGTCTTAAACATTATCGTCAAAATAATAATAAAAAAAAGCCTCAGTATATATATATAATATATATATATATATATATTATTCTTATTTATCAAACCTTCAGCTGCTTCATAGACTTTCTTTCAGTATATATAATCAGATTTTGAATATCAAATTTCGCAAAATGGTAAAAATTTATCAAAATTTATGCAATCTCTTTGAGGTCAAAGCTAATCAATTTTTTTAATATTCATATCTGAATCATAGGAATGGCCCGAGGCTATCATATGAGCCCCGGTCATCCATCATGCCCCTAAGAATTCAAGTAGCACACCTTACACTAGGGAGTATTCGAACTCTAGACCAGAGATGACTTACAACTGGCATATATATATATATATATA